GGCTCACCTCGCTCCTGTAGTTTGTCTCATCTCTGTTGCTAATGAGACCCACCACAGTTGTGTCATCCGCAAACTTAACGAAGAGGTTGGAGTTGTGTGACGGTGTGCAGTCGTGTGTCGGTTTCTCCAGCCTATTTAACGAAACATTGCGGAGCAGAGGATGGTTTGAAAAAGTTTTTAATCTGTGCCAACTCGTAGCCAAAACTGCATCGGAGCATCGGAGCCTCAGTATCAATCGTCCCATCACTACCTTCCTGTGCCTCGATTAGCGCCCATATTTGGATTACCCTCTTGTCTTGCCGTTCTGAATATTGTTTGCCCCTCGCCTGGTCTCTAGCCAGTGTTTGAATTATTCTCTCGCCTAGCCCTCTGGATACTGTTTGCCGCTGTGCTGACTCTCGCCTGTAACGCTCTTTGGAACATTCTCTTGTCTTGCCCTGCTCATATCTGTCTGCTGTATTTTGACCCGTGCCTTTTAATGACCAAGCCTATCCGGAAGTCTCTCAGTCTGTTCACTCCGTAACAGAATACTCCGCCCAACAAGGATCCAGCGACTTTACTGAAGGACATTGGCCAGGTATGAACACAGCGATTCTGCTACTAGCTCTCAAGCAGGGCACACAATCACTTGAGGGTTACATTGAGGAATATTTGACTTTGGCTAATGGCTCAGAATTACTATCAGCTATCAGCTGTATGCTGATAGACTTTTTATGTTATGGCCTTAACCAGCCTTTAAAGTCAAGAATGATTCATTAGGGGCCTCGTTCATCACTGAATAGTTTTTTGGAATATATGTTTTATGGACTGTTGGTTCAGCGTTCACTGTGGGTGTCGTGGAGGAATGTGACACCGCACTCGCTCGTGTAATGTCAGCCGCACCGGAGCGCGCTCACAAGATGGCGGTGACAACAAAACCCCGGTATGATACTGCTGTTGCTCCTGAGCCTAGTCATGTCACTGCTGCCAGAAAGGAGCCCTGTCATGAGCCAAGTCAAGTCACAGTTGTTCTTCCAGAGTCAAGTCAAGTCACAGTTGATCTTTCAGAGTCACGTCGAGTCACAGCTGATCTTTCTGAGTCAGGTCAAGTCACGGCAGTTCTTCCAGAATCAAGTCAAGTCAAGTCATGTCAAGTCACGGATGATCTTCCAGAGTCAAGTCAAGTCATGGCAGTTCTTCCTGAGTCACGTCACGTCACAGCTGACCGTCCAGAGTCACGTCAAGTCACAGCTGACTGTCAAGAGCCATGCCATGTCTCGTCTGATCATCCAGAACCTCTCCATGTTTCATTTGATCTTGATCTACATTTAAATCTAGAAACCTCTACGTGAACACACCTGCCCGAATAAAGTGCGGGGGATGAATTTACATTTAATTAAAATTAAATATAAAAAATGCAGCTAACGTAGTTCTACACACAGCAATATAAACAAAGGTGCCTGTTCTCTTTCGATCTTGCTGTTTGATTGGGAAATGTTATCTGACTAAAAACTATTACTTTTAACTTTTATTATTACAGTATTTATTTAAATTTTTTAACAAATTTAAACGTAGAGTGCCTTAAAAATAATTATCACAACACTGATAAAACAGGCTTATACTGATTTTCTCATCCTCCGATTTATAGGCTACTTATCAATCCTGTTTTTATTATCATTATCATTTAAAAAAATTAATAAATTCAGAACAGGATTAGAATATAATTCTATTTTAAATAAGACAGAAATATTTTGTTTCTACAACAACAACAACAGTAGTGTTTACAACAGCAAAACCTCCATACCCTGTAAACTCAATAATAATAATAATAATAATAATAATAATAGGCCTAATATAATTCCGTTTCTAATTCCAGAGTGATTAAGAGGTGCGAAGAAAAATTTATTTAACTTTTAAACTTAAAATGGTCTTTTCTTGTTCTGTGTTTCTTTTTCAAAACTGCGTCACAGCATTTGCTGCCATCAATACAGAAGCATCCGTTTCGATACATGTATCAGCAAGGAGCACAGCCCTATTAAACGCCGTGCTCCATGTGCCCCTTTCATACTTTGAGCACCTGCCCCTCCAAAGGTCTCTGCACGGCCCTGGCCATTTTTGAACCCTTGTTTTGCCCCGGCCGTAGAGGCCGTTTATGAACTCTTGTCTCATCCTGAACCAGCCATGGAGTCCAATCATGAACTTTTGCTTGGTCATATCACTGGCAATGAACTCTCGTCCTGTCCTGAACTGGCCAGGGAGGCCAACGATGAACTATTGCCCTGTCTCAACCTAGCTGCAGAGGCTGCCTGTGAACTCTCATCCTGTCCTGACCTGGCTATGGAGACCAATAATAAACTTTTGTCTTGTTTCGACCCAGCTGAAGAAGCTGCCTTTAGACTCTCAGCCTTATCTGTCACAGCCGAGGAGGCTGTTTGTGAACAGTCTTGCCAGTTCCAGTCAGTGAATCTAAATATGGACTATCTATCTGTTCTTTCTCCACAAAAATGTCTGTTGAATCATCCGTCTCGCCAATCCCAGTCAGTGAGTCAAATTATAAGCTGTCACTTTGCTCAGTCTCTCCAAGTGTGTCAACTGTTGAACTGTCGGGTCTCTTCAGTATCCATCAAGATGTCAGGTCATGTGTCGTTTGCATTTGTGTCTGATACTAAATCATCTGTTGTACCAGCTTCAGTCAGTGAATCTACTTATGAACCGTCTGTCTGTCTAGCCAGTCCAGTTCCAATCAATGCTCGTAATTCTAAGTTGTGTCAATGTCTCTGATAATGATGTTCCTGTCTGTCCAGTTCCCGCCAATGACCCTGAGTGTGAACTGTTAGCCCGTCCAGTTTCAGATTTTGTTGATGAAATGTCTACCAGTTCAGTTTCAGTCAGTGAGCCTAATGTTGAATCATCTGTCTGTTTAGTCTTGCCAAGTGTTTCTGGTTTAAAAGTGTCTGTTCTGCCGGATTCAGTCTGTGAGTTGAATTATGAACCATCAGTCTGTCCTATCTCCCCAAATGTCTCAGAGCTTGAACTGTCTGTCACATCCAGGGAACCCGCCTCCGAACACTCGATCCTGTCTGTCATGAGCTCAGAGACTAGAGATGCACCCCACCTTTGCCCCGGTGTTATCCAAAATGTGTCTAACTCAGAATCATCTGGTCCACCAGTTTCAGTCAGTGATTCAAATAATGAGCTATCTGTATGTTCAGCTCTCCCTAGTATATCTGATTTTGATCCGTCTGTGTCACCAATTACAGTCAGTGAAATTAATGGTGAAAGGTCTGCCAACCCAGTTCCTGTCAGCCCAATCTGTCATAACCAAGAAGACTGACACAGAACTTCCTATGTTCCCTTCATTGGCCCTTGGGGCCATAAATGCTTTGTCTGTCTCGTGTGTCTCTGTGTTCCCTAGGTCCTAGTCCCTGCCGTGGTCTTCAGCTCCTCCAGTCCCACCGTGGTGGTCTTCGGTTCTGCTCTGGTGGTCTCCAGCTCCACCTGCTCCACCGTGGTGGTCTTCTGCTGTGCTCTGGTGGTCTCCAGCTCCGCCTGCTCCCCCGTGGTGGTCTTCTGTCCTGCCCTGGTGGCCTGCCGGCTCCGTCCTGGCTCTCTGCTCTGCCGGATCTGCCCTGGCTCTGCTCTGCCGGATCCTCCCTGGCTCTCTGCTCTGCCGGCTCCGCCCTGGCTCTCTGCTCTGCCGGCTCCGCCCTGGTTCCCTGCTCTGCCGGCTCTGCCTCAGTCCCCTGTCCCTCCACTTCCACATGGACCTGGCCCTCAATCCCTCTCCCTGTTCCGCCTCCGTTCCACCGCCCTCCTGGATTGTGTTACGTTAGGAGCATCTGGAAGCCGCTCCTTGTGGGGGGGGGCTCTGTCACGAATCCTGTCCATGAACTTCCGTTCGCTTGCCACCAGAGGTCGCCCTCCCATTATATTGACTTTCACATTACACAGACAGTTGCATGTCACTCTGGACTACATTTCCCATTATCCATTGCACTGATCACACACAGGTGTAACCCATCAGACACTCCTTATAAGCCATGCACTTCCTCTTCCTGGTCGCGGAGTATTGTTAGCACATATCACTGTTTGTTGATAGCTACTTGGTTCTTGATTACCTGTTTCTAAGTCTAGCCTAGTCCTGTCATTGTTTTGCCTTCCTGTGTCTCGATCAGCACCCATATTTGGATTACCCTCTTGTCTTGCAGTTCTGGATATTTTTTTGCCCCTCGCCTGGACTCTAGCCAGTGTTTGGATTATTCTCTTGCCTAGCCGTCTGGATACTGTTTGCCGCTGTGCTGACTCTCGCCCGTCTTTGGAACATTCTCTTGTCTTGCCCTGCTCATATCTGTCTGCTGTATTTTGACCCGTGCCTGTTAATGACCAAGCCTTTGTTTAATTAAATGCCTGCAAATGGATCCGTAAGCCTCTCAGTCTGTACACTTCGTAACAGAGCCACCTAATTGATGGTTGTGCAATCATTTTTCTTTTTTTTTTTCGTTTAATCTTTTAATCACTGAGAATAATTATATTGTTTGTTTGATGCTAATTATATAATAAGAAATATCACAAATGTATTTGTATTATAGAATACATTATAGAAAATGCAAATCCACGATGTGTGATGACAATAAAATATAATAAATATATTAGAATAAAATAAACATTAGCTTGTTACAAAAGTGTTGTATAATTAATATATATCGATAATTATTATATATGACAATAAATATAATAACATATTAGAATAATATAAAATTACCTTATTAATTATAATAGTGCTTTATAATTAACATATCATACAACTATATATATATATATATATATATAGTTGTATGATATGTTAATTATATATATTTGATAATAACTATATATTGTAATCATATATAACAGTCACACATGTGCTGACAGCGCTGAAGTAAACTAACCCTGAAACATAACCTACTCCGGAGCAGGTTATGTTCAGGGAGTAAGTTGCTATGGCTACTTGCATACCCTGAGAGTTATCTCCGTTTTAGGAACCAAAAGCTGAGTTTATCTTACCCTTAAACATACCCGGGTATGTCACATAATCCGCTTTCTGGAATACCCCCCCAGGACACTTCAGATGCGGATTTAAAACAGAAAACAAAACGGTGTGTATAAAGTACAATATATAGTGCATGATTTCATATCATTACTACGTAATTAATTTGTTGACTTGATGTTGAATTAGTAGAGAAAGATCAGCAGTTAGCTTTCAAGGCTGAGAGGACGCTAATATTAGTATTGACTCAAGCTGTTAAAACAATGTAACAAAAACACACACAAGTCTGACCCAAATGGCCATCTTTAAGCATTACTGTTGAAATGAAATGGTGACACTTTATAATAAGAGTCCATTTGTAGTATTAACTAAGGTTGATACAAGCTGTAGAAGTATTGTTCCTTGTTAGAGTGTGTTAATTTCAACATTTACTAATACATTTTTACATTTTACAGTTGCTTCTGTTAACATTAGTTAATGAACAGTGAACTAACTTTAATGATCAATATATAATTCATAATAATATTTTTATTCATTTATTAAGTATGGTTCAGTACTGTTTTAGCACTATTTTAGTTTTCATTCCATATCCATTTGAAAAACTATCGGTTGATTAATCGGTATCGGCCAGTGCGGTCCAAGTATCGGTAAAATCCACTATCGGACGACCTCAACTTGTTACCCTGTGTATTTATACCCGTGATTGCCTGGTTCTGTGTCAGTCTTTGTTCCATAGTTTATATTTCCTGTGTATACTCCTGTTCTGTGTTGGTTCTTTGTTTATCTTCTTAATAAATCTTACTGCAATTGGATCCTCCGCCTTGTGTTCCCGTGCCTCCAATGTTACACTGACATTGAATTCAACTGAATATTTGACTGAATCAATATATAAAAATGTGCTTAAGTAGGCTATAAGCTAGTAGTCAAATTTTTTACTCCAGGTAATATATAACAATATAGATTTATTGAGTCAGACATTTATTGAAACACAACCCTTAAAGCTTTGGGATGCTGTTGATTATGTCTATATAGTGTCTTTATTGTGGGATAAGTTGTCACAATAAAAAACCAGCCATTAAATCTTATTCAGTGCCTTTTAAAGACATTTCTGAATGTATAAAGGGAAAACTATTATGAAGGGCAACATAGTACATGAAATAACAAACACGTAGGCTAAAAAGCAACATAGAAAGATATCAAATTATTATTCTGGCCAACATATATTGTAACTGATAATTTGTCTAAATTTCAACATTCCTTTAAGGCACCAAAAATGTAAAGAACTATAGAACTTAGAAAGGTTCTCATTCTTAAAACCATTTTGGGAAGATTTTTGTTACACCCAAATTTGGTTTGACAGCTTTGCAAATATCATACATTCATATACCTATTTGTAAAGTTTAATTTTAATTCACTCTGAGATGCTCCTGTTCTTTGTGCTTGTTTGGTGCTTCTGTCTGGCACCAAATAAAGTCAAAGAGGTTATTATTACAATCTGTTTTCCCGTGTAATTCAGAAGAGGAAGCAATGAGGGAAAGTTCAGGCTGGTGATTCACACGTCTGCTGTTAGAGGATCTGCTGAGGGAAAGTGAAGGACCCTGTTTATATCTTTAACATCACTACAGTTATGATGATGATGATGATGATAACAGTGAATGCAAAAGAAATGAGAAGATGTGACTGACCAGTTTTACATATATTTCTGTCGTTGTTGCATGAGGGAAAGATTATTTGCATATTATGAAAAATGAATATGTTTGTTTCTTTTTAGGTGTGTGGTTTTGAATGCAGATCATCAACATGAGCATATACTGTACAGTAAGAGTTACAGAACACAACACACTCTGTCTACTTTGTGTTTGTGCTTTTCAGTTGTCTTTAAAATTATGAAATGTATTTCTTCAGAGGCCGAGTTCTTCAGAATTCAACCTCTAATTGTCATGTGACAACAGCAAATCTGAAATAAAATCTCTAATATTTATTTAGATATAAATATGACCTGTATATGATCTCATTCATGGAAAAAAACATCAGTTATTTGTATAATAAAATAATATAATATAATAATGTAATGTAATATAATAAAATAAACATAGCCTAAAATAAATATCTAAAATATATACAGTATAATAACATCAGTTGGTAAAGTATTAATTTAAATACACACACACATATATTATTTTCTGTGGATTTGATTTTAAAATGTAATTTTAACATTACATTTGTCTTTTTCATGCAACCTTTAGAGATGGATTTCAAATCAGTCTGATTTGACACTCTCATATAAGGTTATTCTTTCTAATAACTCTCATTAATAGTCAATTAAATCACTAAAGGTATGTTTAGAAAATATGCATTCATATATGTAAAATATATTAATCAATCTGACATTTCTAATACTTATTTCTTTCTATCTTGCATTTCTGAAGCCTTTTTAAATGCACATTAATCAGTGGTGTAATGTAACGAACGGTGTTGGGGGTAACACATTACAAGTAACGTAATCAGATTACTTTTTTCAAGTAACTAGTAAAATAATGCATTACTTTTTAATTTACCAGAAAATATCTGAGTTACTTTTTCAAATAAGTAATGCAGTTACTTTGTTTTCTCATGTACTGACTGGCAGCTCTTCTGTCCTCATGTTGAGAGAAATCAGGAGAAAGAACAGAGAGAGGCGTTGTGTGTGCACTGTGTCAACATGATGTTACTGTAGTTTTGAACATGCATTTACTCATCTCACTCGCACAAAAACAGATTCAGTATTCTCAAGATAAATAAAAACAGTGAAATGCAAACTCAGGACATGACGCAAACATGTTAAATAACACACATATCCTTTATGTATTTAATTCAAATTTATTAACCAGTATCTTTGCTGCTGACCTTCAATGATCAACCATACTATTAAGCACAATGACTTTAGATAAATATAACTTTTGTGTTTCTTTTTTTGTTGTTGTTTCTGAAGAGAGAAAAATGAGGCCAAGTCAGATGAGAAAAAGTAATGCAAAAGTAACGTAACGCATTACTTTCCATAAAAAGTAGCTTAGTAACATAATTAGTTACTTTTTTAGGAAGTAACGCAATATTGTAATTCCTTACTTTTAAAAGTAACTTTCCCCAACAATGGTAACGAAGTAATAATACTTCGGTACAGTACTTCAGTATTTTTTGGAAGAATCTGTGCTTTGCTTGAGTTTTTATATTTCTGTCAACTTTCACTTTTACTCCACTACATTTCCTAAATAAAATGTGTACTTTTACTCCGATACATTTCCCAGAAGCATATTACTGACGGGACTCGGAAGAACACAGACCGCAAGCACTTGAGCAAGCAGGTTTGACGAATCAGTGGTCTGGCGCTTCCAAGTTAGATTCCTAAAAAAACTCCTTTGCGCTTGTGCAAATAAGTGCTCGCACAACCGCTGTTTATTTCATTTTCCACTCAAGTCGAGGCCCCAAAATTCAAGATCAGGTGGCAAGAATGCCTCTGTATGTCTTTTATATCATTTCATACAATTAATCTATATCACACAAAGAGTGCTGTGTTTCTCCATATATCAGCAAGATAACAGTTATCGATTTTATACAAGTTTAATAATTAAAGTTAATGTAAAGTGACTTACATTCTAGACACCATATAGCCTGTTTTGCTCCATTTCTCTAGCGAAAATAGTTCCAAACAATCCACAGCACTGTTTTGTGTCTCTGAGGCAGAGCAACATGCAGGAAGGTGTTTCCTTACGAAATTAATCAGATTTTTGAACGAATCGGTTGAATGAATGATTTAGTGACTCACTCATTAAATGCTTTGTTCGTGAATGAATCAGCCGTTTGAATGAATCGGTTGAATCTCAATGACTCGCTCGGTAACAGTGACTTGCTGCCACCTACTGGCGGTTGTAATTTCACATTTCAAGTGTCTTTTCATGTTTTAAGTAATTTCAAATATCAATATTCAACGTTTTATGTTTAAAACTA